GTCGTCAGCGTAGCAAAGGGTCATTGATGTCCAGTATACTGGGTCAGGGATGTCGTTTATATAGAGTATGTATAAGGTTGGTGAAAGAACTGAGCCCTGAGGGACACCTGCATTTAGGTTGAAATAACCCGACAGCTTGCTGAGGAACTTGATCTGCATCTTTCTATTTGTTAGAAAGCTGCAAAGTAGCCTCTGCATGTTATCAGATAGTTGAAACAGAGTGCAGAGTTTGTAACGCAGGCCGTCGTGCCATACGGTGTCACATTCATTCATTCATTTAAATATAGGTCAAGATACCCTGATGGGTGAGCGTGGAAGTGGGGATAGGGGAAGAATTAGTGGGGGTGAGAGGAAGGGTTTTCAGTATGAGGTAAAGTGCCAGGGCTAGACCCAGCTGCATGGCATTGAAATCGTTATGACCAGACTAGGCAGTGAAGGCAAGGAATCGGATCTCTGTGACAACATTTCGTCTTTTCTGAGCACCCACGGAGACAGCAGCCCTCAGCTGGGTGTGCCCTGGGGGCTCACTCCAGATGTGGTCTTAGATCTGCTAATCAGCATCGCGCCCCACCCAAGGCACCAGAAAACGGGAGCTAGTTGGTCCCCCCTAAAGAGGGGGGAGAAGAGTTAGGAGGCTATAGTTGGAAGTTTGGTTATTTGAGTAGTGATATTATAGGAGAGGGGTTATGTAAAGGACGGAGCAGGAGGTGGATCGTCGATCAGGTTAAAGAGGTTGTGCGTATGTCTGGGTCTGCTTAGGACGTTTCTGAGGAACGTGTCGTAGTTGTCATGATAGGTGAGAATTCTGTCAATCTGTTTCTTCCCCATAGTATCCCAGGTTATGTTCAGAGGTGGGATGTTCGCCCACTCATGCAGGGCCTCACTGGTGGTGAAGTCCTGCCAGTGGGTATTGAACACCCATCTCAGAGCCTGTTCTGGGTACGCTGGAGTTTCTTCCTATTTGTTGGTGCTGCAAGTGTGAGTGGGATCGGTGCATATGTTAGGAGTGGGAGAATAAGTGTTTTGTATAAATAGAGCTTGGTGGCTTGGGAGGCATGTTTGAGTGGGTAGAGTTTTGATAGAGCGTTTGAGGCTATAGCTTTCTTGGGTGTTATGTGTGTGTGAAAGCGAAGGTTGAAGTCTAGTGTGAGTCCAAGTACTGTGGTTTTGTTGACTCTTGGGATCTGGGTTGCATCTGGTGATTGAGAGTAGAGTTTTACTGGGTCAGGGTTACGTCGTTTGTTGTAGAAAAAGTATGTAATTTTTGACTTGTTGGGGTTTGTTTTTATTCGCCAGTCGTGTTCCCAGAGGGTGACTTTGTCTATTTCTTGTTGTGCTTTCCGTGTGAGGGCGTTAATCGTATAGTCTGTGATCAGTTGGGTTACGTCGTCAGCGTAGCAAAGGGTCATTGATGTCCAGTATATTGGGTCAGGGATGTCGTTTATATAGAGTATGTATAAGGTTGGTGAAAGAACTGAGCCCTGAGGGACACCTGCATTTAGGTTGAAATAACCTGACAGCTTGCTGAGGAATTTGATCTGCATCTTTCTATTTGTTAGAAAGCTGCAGAGTAGCCTCTGCATGTTGTCAGATAGTTGAAACAGAGTGCAGAGTTTGTAACGTAGGCCGTCGTGCCATACAGTGTCAAAAGCCTTTTCGACGTCCTTTGCAATGAGGGCCGTCTTGGCCCTCTGGTGTTTATTTATGGAGAGGTAGTTTGTTATTATGTTCAGTGCGTCTTGTGTTGAGCGGTGTTGTCTGAAGCCAAATTGTTTGTCTGTCAATATGTTTTTGTGTTCTAGGTGATTCCTGAGTTTATGATTAATGAGTTTTTCACGGTGTCACCGCACGATTTCCCGACTATATCCCATCAAGCGGACGTACTAGTAGCATTGCAACTCCTGCCTGCCCTTACTTTACGCTTGTGGTCGAGTAGACACGGCTTTCTCACAACGCTTTCAAAACTGCAGTTGCCTACTCGTCTGTTTCACGTCCCTGTGAAATGACTTTTGCACAAATCCAAAAAATAGAGCAAAATCAGCGATAATAGTGATTGAGGTGAGCCGCCTGTTGGCTGCAGCCAGAGGAAGGAGGGGAGGGGCAACGGGGTGACGTAGGCGAGTCGAGCAGCCAATGGCGCTCGAGCAAGCGCCTCGAGACGGCGTATATAAGCAAAAATTTTTCGGCGCCGGCCATCACGATCACAGAGATTACAGATCGCGGTCGGACGTGCTCGCGTTGCTCCAGCTCTTCTCTCTCGCACCTAGTACTGCAGGGTGGATAAACAATTGGCAGCAGACTTGCGTCTCTCTAGATGGTCAGACCCCACTCCTAACTTGGTATTTTATGCCGGGTAGAGACGGGAGGCCATCTTCAGTGACGTGTAGTCTTTGAGAGAGATCCATCGGCCTCCAGGAAGCTCATTATGCGTCACAAACGCTTCAAGATCAGGGGTACGCCCCTCAACGAACATCCATTCTCCAAGACATCTCTCCTGAAGCTCTTTAAAGACGTTGCAGGAGTAACACCCAACGACATCAAGCAGGAAGGCACGGACATCCTTTTCTTCTTTTATAGTGAGGAGGAAGTCGACAAACTTCTGTCTTACAGCGCTAACTTCTCCAACCAACACCTTCGTCTCAACTTCCCACGCCAGTACCTGGCTGAACACTCTGTCGTTATTCACGATCTCAGTCAATGGATCGTGGAACAAGATGACGCTGATGATAGTGCGTTCATGCACGACTTCAAGGCATCAAACCCGGACCTACGGCTTCACCAAGCTCAATTCTTCAATTCAAGTCGCTCCCTGAAACTGACCTTCGGGACGGTAGCTGCGGCTACTATGGCTACCAGAAATGGAGTTTACAGCTTTGGAATTCACATTCCGCCTTTCCGTGTGAAGATGGAACGTTTTCACATCGTCAACCAGTGCCTCCGATGCTACGAGTACACCCACTCCACCAGCAAATGTACCCAGCGGATTCAGAAGTGTAGCCTCTGCTCAGCTGACCACCATTACTCCATCTGCAAGTCTGAAACACTATGCTGCTTGCTGTGCAAAGGCGATCATCCAGCAATCTCCATACATTGTCCTCACAGACAAAACGCTATTAAAAACATGGAGAAATCCACATCTTCAACCGGAGCCAGTACCTCTGAAGCAACAAGCCAATCAGCGACCACCTCTACTTCAGGTTTCAACGCCCAAGCCGCCATCTTCCCGGAGCTCCCGGGAGGACGTCCCACTGCTACTACCAGCCAATGGGGAGCCAGCTCCCAAACGCCAACCAGCGATTCGTCGAGCCAGCCATCGCCACCGGCCCAACCAAAGACAAAGCTAATTGGGCAGAGCACAGTAAAAGCTCTGATATCAACAGCCAGAATTACTGCTGGCAATAACCCCCGAGAATTCGTGAGGCTTCTGAAAATTCTGTACAAGGCGAACGGTCTCCCTACCTTCATTGTTCCTGAGGAAGTTTTCAACGCTCCGCGTTCATCTCCAACAACTGACCCTGTAGAGGAGGATGCTGACTCTACATCCGACGACGACGATTCCGCCACTGCAATGCAGCCCTCAGATCCTGTTCGGGTACCTACAGCTCACAAGACTCGCCTCATGTGACCCCCACTTCTGCATCAGTTCCCGTTACCAACCATGACATCACTGTGAACGCAGCCACGCTTTCTGACATACTGTCAGCTCCTGCTCCACACGCTTCTCCAGCTGCTGCTGTCCCTTCACCCGTCTCAGTGGCGAATTTCGCTGCTATCGACCCTTGGTGTGACCCTATAGAGGGTACCGACTATGCAGCACCTTCTGCTGCAGTACCTACCGCTGTTACACACCCTCCGAGAACTCTACCTTCAAGACATCAACCCTCAAGAACCCAACCTTCAAGAAATCTACCCCAGCGTGTCAACACCCCTGCTCCTCACTCATCTGATGAATCGGATGAGGACGTATCTGTCGGTACACCATCACCCCCAAGGAAAGATCACCTTCAAGCATCAACACGAACCGTGACCACCAAGACCGACAAGCCCAAAAAAAAGAACAACGATCAAAGTTTGGTGAAATCAACAAGAAAGAAGACTCCTAACGAACTGACTTAACATCATCTGACATCAAACCTCCACTGCCAGCTGCTTGCGTTCCCGGCCTCTGTATGTATTGCAAATGACACCCCACTCAATTCTACTTTCATCTGATCAAGCTCAAATCCACGGTGGTTGGGCCACCGATCTTTCATCTCCCCTCTTCACCTCATCCCCGGATCCTTGCTCAAGATTTCTGCAACCTCGCCCAGTTCTTCCATCCCCTGCTTGCCAGCTCTATGGACTTTTTAATCCGAATAATCCGGCCATCTCCAGCTGCTGCTGTCCCTTCACCCGTCTCAGTGGCGAATTTCGCTGCTATCGACCCTTGGTGTGACCCTATAGAGGGTACCGACTATGCAGCACCTTCTGCTGCAGTACCTACCGCTGTTACACACCCTCCGAGAACTCTACCTTCAAGACATCAACCCTCAAGAACCCAACCTTCAAGAAATCTACCCCAGCGTGTCAACACCCCTGCTCCTCACTCATCTGATGAATCGGATGAGGACGTATCTGTCGGTACACCATCACCCCCAAGGAAAGATCACCTTCAAGCATCAACACGAACCGTGACCACCAAGACCGACAAGCCCAAAAAAAAGAACAACGATCAAAGTTTGGTGAAATCAACAAGAAAGAAGACTCCTAACGAACTGACTTAACATCATCTGACATCAAACCTCCACTGCCAGCTGCTTGCGTTCCCGGCCTCTGTGTGTATTGCAAATGACACCCCACTCAATTCTACTTTCATCTGATCAAGCTCAAATCCACGGTGGTTGGGCCACCGATCTTTCATCTCCCCTCTTCACCTCATCTCCAGATCCTTGCTCAAGATTTCTGCAACCTCGCCCCGTTCTTCCATCCCCTGCTTGCCAGCTCTATGGACTTTTTAATCCGTTTAATCCGGCCATCACAAACCACAGTTGTTCACCATGGCTCGCACCAAGCAGACTGCTCGCAAGTCCACGGGAGGCAAGGCTCCTCGTAAGCAGCTGGCCACCAAGGCAGCACGCAAGTCTGCTCCTGCCACAGGGGGTGTGAAGAAGCCTCACCGTTACAGGCCCGGAACGGTTGCCCTGCGTGAGATCCGTCGTTACCAGAAGAGCACAGAGTTGCTCATCAGGAAACTTCCCTTCCAGCGTCTGGTGCGCGAGATTGCCCAGGACTTCAAGACCGATCTTCGCTTCCAGTCGTCTGCCGTCATGGCTTTACAGGAGGCATCCGAGGCTTACCTGGTCGGTCTCTTCGAGGACACTAACCTCTGTGCCATCCACGCCAAGCGTGTCACCATCATGCCAAAGGACATTCAGCTTGCTCGCCGTATCCGTGGAGAGCGTGCATAAGCTAAATCGACCACCCTAGTATACACCAAACTCGGCCCTTCTCAGGGCCAAAATATCCTTCTAAGGAGATTTCAGACATTCCTAGCATCAGTCATATGAATTAACCTTCATCTATACATATAATAAATAAATAAATACACTAATTTAGGTGTCATACATACACTGTACACGTGATATCAATAAATCAAGTAATTTGTAGTACAACCTGTCTTCTTACAAACAAAACGCCGTCGCTTTTCGTTCTTATGCACTGCCAAGGATCCTCCCCCCCCCCAAAAAAAAAATTGTCATACTGTACTAGGAATAAAAGCAGCTTGTATAAGTGACAAACTGTCCTGTCCTGTTTTATTCTGTTTTTGGTCCTCTGGCTTAATCTGTTAAGTTAGGAGATGACATTTTAAATTAATCGTTTTCATGACATTTTCAAACCTTAAGAGGGTGGCCTGCATAGTAATCCTAATGTGGAACATAACAATGAATCTCTAATCTCTAGAAAAAAGATACCGAGTGTTTATATGTGTGTTGAGAGAGAGAGAGAGAGAGAGAGAGAGAGAGAGAGAGAGAGAGAGAGAGAGAGAGAGAGAGAGAGAGAGAGAGAGAGAGAGAGAGAGAGAGAGAGAGAGAGAGAGAGAGAGAGAGAGAGAGAGAGAGAGAGAGACAGAGAGAGAGAGAGGAGGAGAGAGAGAGAGAGAGAGGAGAGAGAGAGAGAGAGAGAGAGAGAGAGAGAGAGAGAGAGACAGACAGACAGACAGACAGACAGACAGACAGACAGACAGACAGACAGACAGAGACTGAGAGAGAGAAACACACAGACAGTTTCATAAATATTCTCATTTTATAGCTATTTGCTTTCAGTGACAGAGGTTTTTGTTATAATAGTATTGGTGTCTAACACTCACAATCTCTTTAGAAATTAAAGTGTGGCTCCAATGGAGCCGAGTTTGTTGGTTTGAGGCCAAGCCACCACCACAGGGCAGTAAGTAAGCCAGCCGTTTACTTGGAGGAGGTGTACTTGGTGACGGCCTTAGTGCCCTCAGAGACGGCGTGCTTGGCCAGTTCTCCGGGCAACAGGAGCCTTACAGCCGTCTGGATCTCCCGACTGGTAATGGTGGAACGCTTGTTGTAGTGGGCCAGGCGAGAAGCCTCGGCGGCGATGCGCTCGAAGATGTCGTTCACGAACGAGTTCATGATCGACATGGCTTTGGAAGAGATACCAGTGTCGGGGTGGACCTGCTTCAGCACTTTGTAGATGTAGATGCTGTAGCTCTCCTTCCTCCTGCGCTTCTTTTTCTTATCGCCCTTGGCAATGGCCTTCTGGGCCTTTCCGGCCTTCTTGGCAGCCTTTCCAGATGCCTTGGGTGGCATGATGCTCGTGCTGGCTGGCTGGCGTTGCGATACAATAATGAACTTTTGCGCGAGTCGAGCTTTCCTTTTATAACCCCAACCCTAGTACTCCTCGCCCCCAGGCCTCAACCAACGCCCAGGAGA